TCGAACGGTTTCCACAAAGTGAAACCGGACGATGAATCAGGCTACAGTTTTGTTGCTTGTTCAGAGGAAGAAAACTAATTTATGCAACACATTTGACATTTTCACGGCTTTGATGATTAAAATGTTTGTGTTTCATATTCACTTTGCTCAAGAAGTGGTTTAACAAAGACTTTTAGTATCACAGCCATGATTTTGTCATTTTTATTGAATCGATTTGTAATATATCGTACCGAATTGTATTGACTCGAAAGCTCAATGTATCATATCGGCAACTTCTTAATGATACCCAGCCTTATTTTAAACCACATTCTATTGTCGAAATAGAGGTTTTTATTATAACTGTGGTATCAGAATCAGTATGCAGTCTATTCCTTAGTATGAAGGACTTGTATCTGTTACAATGACAAATAAAGATATTCTATTCTATATTTTATTGAAATTGAGCTTGAAATTTCCGTATTTTGACACTGTTGCGATTTGAGAATTTCGATTAAAATTCAATTAATCTTGCAGCCCCATAGAACTGAATGATTGCTCTATGCAACCTTGCACTAGAAAATCTGCACAGCTATTAATTCAAAATCCCTTGATGGGTTAAATGGCTGGAAGGGTTTGTCCAGTACACAGCACCTGCATAAGTGAAGATCTGACTATTGGTCACCAGTGAATAGATGATGGATTAGAAGAGGGAGTAGGGCTAAGATTTCTCTAAAAATATGTCGTCCTTTGCCGAGAGATGTCAATACAAAACATGAAGAACTGTGAGAATAAGCAGCAGAGAAACAAAATGTACCAATATTCCTTGAACAATACACTCAACGAAGGACAGTTTGGCACAGATCTGTCTGGTCAGTTTAAAGGGCTCATATTACGCAATTCACAGATCTGTTATAATGTTGTTTAATCATCAAAAGCATGTCTGGAGTTGTGTTTTGTTTCAATCACACATATTTAACTCACAAATCCTGCATATTAAGGCTGTGCTCTTCTCTCAAACTGAAAACACTCTATTCCATCTTGTGATGTCATGTGGCAAAACAGAACTTGCTCTGTTGTGTTGTGTAAACTCCATAAACCTTCACCGGAATCATTTGGATGATTTCAGCCCTGGAATTGCCTCTATGGAACTAAAGGTTAACTTGACCTACCGCTTCAGGACATCACAAGGTGGAACAGAGCATTTTGAGGTTTGGAGATGTAGACAGAATAATAATAAATGATTACTCAAACACGAATGAAACAAAACACATCTCTGGGTTAGTTTTTTGATGAGGCAACAGCATTTTAACATGACTAAAAGCTCACAGGGGTCAGTTTTGCATAATATAGGACCTTCAAAGTGCATATGACAAGCTAGAGTACTTCTTCTTTTCATTTCACAAAAACAGTTAACATGATGAAAGATTTTACAAAAACCTTTGCCTAGTTTTGTCTAGCTTTTAAAAAAATTCTGATGACGTTTATCATTTTATCTCCTGGTTGCAGACACATGCAGAAGCAATTTCCCTGAATTAAGCAATTACTCAGGACTTGAGAAATAAAAATAAATGACTTTTACACACCTTTATTTTGTTAAATCAGTGTTTGAGCTGTCAGAGAAAAGCCTTTCTTGAGCTTAAATTGGTCCTCATTTTGTATGGAACTTTCTGTGATGATGACAGACATAGAGGGATTCAGTTTTTTCCGGTATTTGTGTGCATTTCTTCTAAATTTTCCCCCCCCACACAAGCACTTAACACTTAACTGATGTAAACTATTATGAAGACTGACCACAGGTACTATCCCACCAAGCCAAGTCATAATTACAAAAACATGAAAACTGGTCATATGCACTTTAAATTGCATTTCAAGGATGGACCAGAAGAGCTGCATGTGTTTTGTAAACAGTTGTATTGACAGAGGCGCCGTCAGGTCTTTAAAGTTATGTTTATTATGTTTATGGCTTCAATATCAACAAAGCAATGGTTTAAAATATTTTCAGTTCAAGTACAACCCCACAACTGACTTTTTTTATTCACAAAGTCTGCTGCCATTTGTGGTCTGGGTTTGGTCCTGGGTTTAGTCCTGGTTTAGACTGGGTTTAGTTAGTGGGGATGTGACACAGTTTTCACAAGATGAGACAAGATGCTGCAGTTTTTAAAAGGTTCTGCTTTACACAAAATTTACTCTTGTGAGCTTCAAGCCATGTTATAATGTTGTTTCTTCCTAAAAAACAGACCTGGAGTTGTTTTTTATATCATTCACACATGTCTGAGTGATCCTGCATTATCAGGATGTCTACATTTTCAAACCTCAAAACGCTCTGTTCCAACTTGTGATGTCATATAGTGATAGTTTTCAAGTTAAGAGCTCCTTTTTACCTTTAGTTCAGTAGAGATTGGCAGTTCCAGGGTTGAAATTATCTATCCAATCCAATCCAACTTTATTTGTATAGCACATTTTACAAAAAAAAAAACTGTTTCCAAAGTGCTTCACACAGCAATGCAACATTTTACTTTAAAAAAAATAAATAAATCAGCAGAATTATATTTAATAAAGACACTAATAGAAAAATAAATAAAATAATAATAAAATCAATGAACAAAAATAAAAAAATCAATACACAAAAGCAGCACTAAAAAATCTAAATTAATCTTGTGACGTGTGTGAAGTTTAAAAACACAGTGGTGCACATTTTGTAATATCAAATAACACTAAATACGCAGGGTTTGTGTGTTAAACATGTGTGAATAAAACTAGGTATGTTTTGATGAGGAAACATTACAATATAGATCAGAAATCTATTATTATTATTATTATTATTATTATTATTATTATTATTATTATTATTGTCTATCTAAATTTAATCTGTTTTGTGTCAAATGTAAACACATGTAAATATTATTTTACTTGGCTGCACAAATCAGGGGCAATTTCAGGTTATATTGCCTCTTCCCTATTAGTCAGACTCTATTGTCTTCATGTCCTTGTTTGCTTATCTGTTAGATCCACCATGTAATACCCACGTTATTATCACAATTTCCTGAGTGCGGATATATGCACATAAATATGCAAACAAAACAATACTCTTGGGATGCTCGTTTGAGATTGGTAGGTTAGATACATCATGGGCAGCTAGTGTTATTATTCATACCCAACTTAGGTTAACTGTGGTTTGCCTTGATGTTTTTTTATGGAAGAATTAAGAGTTAAACTGATAAACTGTGCTCAGCTTTAAGTCTGTTACATTTTACCCTGCGCCACAGTCTCAAGATCCACTTTATGTGTTAATAAAAGAGCCTTTATCAGAAGAAGACAACGCGCTGTTCAAAACCAGGCATCCCAAATTTCTGCCTCAGGGCTTTGTCCTTTAACTTTGTTTGTGCCAACCCGGTAATAAAATTGTCACGTTTTCAAAGTCACACAGCAATAAAAACATTTTAAGGGGCTTATATTATGACCTCATTTTATTATCTAGGTTATAATGGTGTTTACTTACCATAAACATACCTGGAATTGCGTTTTGTTTCATTCACACAAACAAGTTCTGCATATTTAGGCTGAGTTCTTCTTATAAACAGAAAAAAACGCCAACTTGCGATGCCATGTGGTAATCCAAGAGTGCTCCACTGTGTTTTTAAACTACACACATCCTCAATAGAATGATTTGGATGTTTTTAACTGTGGAATTACCAATCTCTACTGAACTAAATGTAACTTGAAAACTACCACTAAAAGCTGGAACAGAGCATTTTGAGCTTTTGAGATGTACACACAGACTAATAATGCACAATTACCCAAACATGTGAATGAAACAAAACACAACTCCAGGTTTGTTTTTGAGGAGATAACAACATTCTAACACGGCTTAAAGCTCAAAAAGAGTCAATTTTGTGTAATACAGGACCTTTAAGCCTGTCAAATGTCTATCTATTCTATTTTTCTACCTTTGTTTAATGCACAAAAACAAATCCTAAAAAAATAACACAGACATTGAAGCTGAAGTGGAGGTGTACAGATTGAGGCTAACGTTGACACCAATAAATGTAACTTGAAAACTACCACTAAAAGCTGGAACAGAGCATTTTAAGCTTTTGAGATGTACACACAGACTAATAATGCACAATTACCCAAACATGTGAATGAAACAAAACACAACTCCAGGTTTGTTTTTGAGGAGATAACAACATTCTAACATGGCTTAAAGCTCAAAAAGAGTCAATTTTGTGTAATACAGGACCTTTAAGCCTGTCAAATGTCTATCTATTCTATTTTTCTACCTTCGTTTAATGCACAAAAACAAATCCTAAAAAAATAACACAGACATTGAAGTTGAAGTGGAGGTGTACAGATTGAGGCTAACGTTGACACCATAGAAATGTGGTTAGATAGAAACATTTAGCCCCAAATCTGCTCACTAATCTGCACGTACGGAACGCTTTGTTTTGGCCCTTAATGTCACCAGACAACAATAGCTGTCAGAGAATGCTGTCCGGATTAAAAGACATGTCCCCACGGTGGCACTGATCTGATCTGCTACGAACGCTATACCTCTGCCCTGTGGCTACTTAGCACAGAGCTAGCCCCTTAGCCCGTGAAGCTTCTTGTTTTTTTGCTTTAATTGCTCGCTTCAAACTGCTCCGACAGCCTCGCAACGTTGCTTATTGTGTCGATAGGTTCCTGCGTTAAAAGACAGGTTACTTTATTATTCGTCGTGAGTCTCGCCAGGCTTTTTTAGCACACGTACATTACAAAGTTAAGCAGCTATCATAAATGCTGACAGCTAGCCGGCTCGCTAACAACTGTCACTACCCAATTTGCGTTGCTACCCTTTTGGAAACCCGGCGTGATGCGGTGCTAAAAACGCAAAAAATTATCATAATTTCACCAGCATAAAAAATTAACACCTATTTATTTCGATGCGATAGCCAGTGACTGAAATAAAGCATGAGTAATAATGTTATTGTACAAACCGTTCGCAAAGTTATGCCCAAAAATCAACATAAAACTTAAATACTGACCGCAGATGTGTTATTCCATTTGTTCTTTCCTTTCGCATCGCGTGGTCACGTATTTCCAACAGTTACACACCGCAAATTAAAAGCAAAATTATTTACTTGTGTAAAATATAAACAAGATCGATTAGTGACAAACTAAAATCTGATGTGATCTGTCCTTCTGGGTTGCCGTAGTGAAGATGGCAGGCGGCTTTACGCATGCGCAGAACGTGTTTAGGAACGGATCGGGCAGCGAAAAGCAACTGTAGTTTTCGGCCTTGTGAAAGCTAAAGCTAACCAGTTTGGTTCAGTGCACGGAAAACAACGACTGCGTCCTCGTGTAAAGCGAAGAATAGACGTGTTTTGACTTACCAGATGTGCAGGCCCGTCTTCACCTTATATGTCCTTATATTCCTGGAGGTTGTCGGTAAAATGTCCATTCGCACAGGCCCCGGTCAGAGCGGGTCAGTGCAGCTCTCTGGACATGACTGGAACAGCAGCGGAACAGGCGACAGGCGCGCCACCCCAGAGCCGCCGCTGCTGAGTAATGAAAGGCTTCTCACAGTTACAGATAAATAATAACGCTGAAAACAATGCTCTCAGTATAAAACGACGCTTTGGGGGAAATACATGATGCTGCATATTTTTTTATTTTCCCCAGATAACATGGTTTTTAAGTTTTAAAGTGGCACAGCAAATAAACAAAATGCAGCCCTACAGAAAATTTGATTAGTAATTTACACAGCAATAACTGGAGGGTTAAAATTTCAGGGTGACATATTTCAGAGTCAGTTTTTAACACAGAAAGTGTTATTTTAACTCTTTGAAGGTTCAATGGTGGTTTTGAAATGTGGTTATTTGCCAGAGTTGATATGGATGAAGTTAATTAAACTTCCCCTAGTGTTCATTCAACTTCCATGAGTGTTAATTTGGCACCTTGCATCCACCACTTCACATTCCTGCGAGAGAAGCCCAGTTTGAACCAGTTTGTACATAATTTCATCTTAAATTAACAAAAATAAAGTGTAAAAATAAAACACCTGTGTGTTGTTTAGCTACATCAGGATAACCCGACAAAGTGTTATCAGAGGGGTATCAAACTCATTTTGGTCTGCTGGCCGTATCCAACCTACTTAGATCCCAATGGGGCCGAATCAGAAAACTGATTTGACTCAAGGCCAGATTCGGCCCCCAGGCCTATGTTTGACACCCTTGTGTTATCCGTTCACTCTCAAAACATTAATATAACTCTTGGTTTCGGGGTTAAACAGGATCTTTGGTCCAGTGTTATTTCCAAAAATGTTGAATTAACTCTAGCACAGATTGGACTCATATAAACCTTGAGAAAATGTTAAAATTGATTCTGTGAGAGTTGATTTTAACACTTCACTTTTTGCTGTGTATAGCAAACTGTATATCTTGAACACTGCTCTGTGTTAAAGTTATTTATATCTCTGTTTAATTATAGACTTTACTTTCATTCAACTTTACATTCATTTAATAAATATAGTTTTAGAGTTTTAGTATTCATTGCATTTGCTGCAAAGAGGGAGACCTGAATAACATTTGGCACGCTGTCAGAGCTGACTCATCTCACACTCAATCTCAAAATACAGAAAATATGTACACACTAAAAATCAAATTTATTTATTGAGTTATCTGATTATGTTAATTATCTGATTTTTACTGATGTGTCACTGATTAAGAAAACAAAATTGGAGAACACAGTAAGTACAGAGCAGTGGGCGTAATTGGTAAGATTTCTCAAACTTGCACGAATCACTCCAAATACAACTCTGGGTGAGCTCTGAAATGTCGATTTTTCAGAACAGGTCTGCTTTAAGAACTGCTGGTAATAGCTACAATTGAGACACTCAGGTAACATCTGCTCGTGCGCTCAGAGCCGACAAACCCCAAAACGCCACATTAGAGCGAATTATTACATTTTATGTTTAGGACGGTGAATGTTCACAAAGATCATGGACATTCCTTTACCATGTGCTGTCTATAGAAAGCCAGAGCTGAAGATGTATTTGTGAGAGATTTTTGATATTGAAAATTCTCATGGAGCTGAGGTGAAAGAAGGATTTATTTTTATTACACAAAATTGACTCTTGTGAGCATTTTGCCATGTTAGAATGTTGTTATCTCATGAAAAACACACCTGGAGTTGTTTTGTTTCATTCACACATACTTGTTGAGTAACCCTTTCTTGTTGGTCTGTCTACATCTCCAAAGATCAAAATGTTCTGTTTCACCTTGTGATGTCATGAAGTGGTAGTTTTCAAATTAAAGGGACAGCTCAGAATTTTGGACATAGGACCTCATTTCCTAGTTAGCTAGAGTGTTGGAGACGTGTGGAGACACTCTTTAACCCTCTCCAGGCAGGTGTTGCAGATTTGCAACTGCTAAATTCCAATTACCTACTTACTCTAAATCCATATTTTATGAGATTTTTTTACTCAGGAGCCTTTTCTCCCATCCATGCTGATAAACGTGGACGATGCAGACTGTGCAAGAATGGCTACACACACAACAGCCTGCCAGAAGTGCAAAATACTTTTTTTGTTTACAAAGGATAAAAAATTCAGGATTGTATATTACTACCCCATATTATAATTTTCCCCAAATATCAGATTTTTCCTGATACTGAAAATTAATTTGAGCCTGAGAGGGTTAAAATATTCCATCCAGTCCTTGTATTTGAAGAGGTCGCTGGTGCTAGACTAGTGCATGTCAATGGCCATAGTTATCCTGCCACTAAAAACAGTCTTACCCACTCCACAAAACACCCGAAGCAAAACAATTATTACACCAGACTGTTGATGTAAATGTCTGTGTTGATAGAATAATGTTTGAAATAAAACTAACCTTGCATCGCATGAATCGTCGCATGTTGAGGGACTATTTTCTCATATATCAGTCCGCCGCTGCCAAGCTTTCTATCAGGAAGTACAACTCGCTGCTGCTGCTCAGACATAAATCCTTTAAATGCAAGGTTGGTTTTACTTCAAAAATTATTCTATCGACACAGACATTCACATCGACAGTCTGGTGTAATAATAGATTTGCTTCGGGTGTTTTGTGGAGTGGGTAAGATGGTTTTTAGTGTCAGGATAACTATGGCCATTAACATGCACTAGCCTAGCACCAGCAACGTCTGCAAATACAAGGACTGGATGGAATATTTTAAAAAGTGTCTCCACACGTCTCCAACACTCTGGCTCACTAGGAAATGAGGCCCTATGTCCAAAATTTCGAACTGCCCCTTTAACAGCAACATTTTACCTTTTGTCTAATAGAAGTCTGCAATTCCAGAGCTGAAATGATTTTAGAGAAGGTGTATGGAGTTAAAAAACACAGTGTAGCACTATCTGTATTACTAAATGACATCACAAGGTGGAACAGGGTGTTTTCTGTTTGAGAGAACTCAGCCTAAATATGCAGGTTTTTGTGTTAAACATGTGTAAATGAAACAACTCCAGGTATTTTAACATAGATCAGAAAGGGCCCTTACAGCTATTACTAATTCAGTATTTGACTCTGGCATGTACAGACTCAGCATCTGTATTCAGAAAATTCGAGTGAATGCATTTTAGCCAAGTTTTGCAGTGAACTCTATGGACGCCCATATCATGAGAATAGACAGCGCTTTGTTTCATGTGGAGCTGGATTTGAATAAAAACATAAAACAAGAAGACAGAAGCTTTGCGTGTTTCTATCGACTTCTAAACACATCAGCTTTCTATTGAAATGCAATATAAATTCACACCATATGGACATTTAGGATTATAAAAGAGATGCTTTCCATTTGTTACTGTGATTTGTGGTTATTCTATGGTTTCAAGGCATTTTTAAACCCTATAGAACACTACTGCAGATGAAATCAAGGTGATAATAATTTTTAAAAACTGTCATAAAATGGCATGGCACGATTTAAAGCTCTAAACCGACCAGGTGTAAGAATTCATATACAACGCAAAACACATTTCATAAGATGTAAATCGCTTAAAGGTTTATACACTTTATACTGTGCATTACATCACCTTTTAAAACCTGCAGGTGCAAAAGGAGAGAAACCAAAAAACGAGCTATAAATTGGACTAGGTCTGTAGCAGCTGATTTTGAACTTCTTATCTGGGGCCAGGTCGGAAGGGCAGCAGTCTGATCAGGGAGGCCCAGACTTCCCTCACCCCAGACACTTCCTCCAGCTCCTCCAGTGGGACCCCAAGGTGTTCCCAGGCCAGATGAGTCATGTCCAGAACACTTCTCGAGGAAGGCGTCCAGGAGGCGGATGCCCTCCCTGCAGCTGCTCCTTTCAGTGTGAAGAAGCAGTGGCTCTACTCCAAGCTCCTCCCATGTGACTGAGCTCCTCATCCTCTGTCCAAGGGAACACCCAGACACTCTGCAGAGAAAACTCATTTCGACTGCTTGTATCCATCATCTTGTCATGTGTGTCATTACCCAAAGCTTTTGACCATAGGTGAGGATAGGACCAGAGATCTAAACCAGGGCTTACCAGGACCATAGGGGCCACCTAGTGCCTCTGCTCAATTTCATTTCTCTCCAGTGACTAGGTCAGGAATCAGAATACACTAGATGGTTTGCAAGGAAGTTGTAGACCGCGCACCGGCCAATCAGCGAAGACCTGTGAAGCCATGACGTCAAACTCAAGCGTCTGTCTGTGTCCCTTTTGTGGAACAGCACAACAGTAAACAAAGTGGTCGAGATGGATGTAGACGAAGACAGACATTCTGTGTTGGCAACGATTCCTGAGATTGAGGATTTAAAGCCGGAATAAAGAGAATGTTTGGTGAATTTTGTCAAAGGGAAAGATGTTATTGCCCTTCTTCCTACGGGATTTGGGAAAGGCTTAATATTATGGCTTTCACAGTTATGGAATTTCTCCTGCTGTGTGGTATAGCAGCTCAACAGCGTGGTATGCGGTGATATTGCACCCCCTCCCCCACCCCACATCCCCTGGAGTTATAATATTTCCAGCGGCTCTGAAAACTTTCAGATGATGTACCTTGGTTGTTCTTGCTTTGGAACAAGTGCCGCTGCATCTCTCCAGCTCTCACAGTGGCAGCTCGGGTCAGAGTCCTGCTCCAGGTCAGGTACCCGCGGACTTAAACGAGAGAGCCCCAAGCACAGCACACGCGTTGGTCCTGGGTTAGTCCTGGGTTATCACGGGCACAGGCAGTAAC